TAAATGAACAATAAAAAAATTAAAAACATATGTAATCATAAATAAAAGGAGACCAAATATCAACAGTGACACAAAGAGCACTCCCCAGTGAGTATTATAACAGAGTCTATCCTCATCCCACCCATCCTTTCAGGAAGAGCCTGGGTAAATAGAACGGCTTTCTAAGAGCACAGAAGGCCAACAAATGCAGTTTCTATAGACTGAGTCTGGCAATGAAATTTGTCATCTAGGACGTTTTACTGATGTCCTCCATCTGCCACCAATTTGGAGATACACAAGTCAACAGATGTCACTAACTGCTGTGGTGTTAGGTAATGAAGGGTGAAGGTTTTAGAAGTAGTTTAGATTGCAAGTGGAGGTGAAGCAGTTTGATACAGGACGAATGATCTCATTTCTTGGGGTGGACCACAGGAAAAATCAATCTGTGATAGATGTAAAGGCTTCTAGATAACAAAGTTGTGTGGGAAAGACCTTGCTGAATAGGTACAGTTGCATCTAATTGAGGTGCATGTCGGGAGGGCAGTGCTATGAATGCAAGGTGTTTTCGCAGGCAGCAGAAAGGGAAGACAGACTGGTATTTAAGTGAATCATGGGGGAAAGAAGAGGCAGATCTGCGCTTCCTCAGTTAAAAATTTGGCCTTAAAGGCTTTTGTTCTGTTTGGAAATTTTTCATGTATTTCTGACACCTGTGAGGTGGAGTCAAAGCTCAGATCCACAGCTGTTCTTTCTCCCTGCCTCCTATAGAATGGAGTAGTGTGATCCAGCTTAAATTAAGCATTGGTTTTTTTTCCACCCATGTGAAAAATGAAAAAGAATTTAGATTAATCAGGTTTAGCTTACGAGTCACTGAGGGCAGGTAGTGCTATAAATTATTAAGTTTCTCTTTAATCAGAATACACACTGTTTAGAACAGGGACCCGATCTTCCCCTGTCTTTATAAAATGCCTACTGTAGCAAGCCCCTGAGCTTGATCAGGAAATTTCAGTGTTGTCATAATTCAGACAATAAATAATAATGTAGTAGTACTGGGCAAGAAACTCTAAACCCAAAGTGCCTCAGATAATGTTTGAACTGATTTGCAGATTCAAGTGGAAACCAGTTGCAGCTGGATTGTATGAAATGGTTTCAGCCCCGTAATCATCCTAGCTATTGCCAAGTTTCTTACTGGTTTATAACTTTATTTAAACTCTGTGCTTGACATAAAATAGAGAGGGTGCTGAATCTCTCTGAAGAAGTTCTGAGGCAGATGGCCTCATTTCCTATATTCCCAATCCAGCAGAGTTATTTTCTGTTCTAGACGGTAGAGTCCCCCCATTCAGTCCGAGAGTAATGTTTTAGACTTACTCAAATAATCAGGAGATTTCTTGTTGACTTCAGCAGGTTTGGGATTTCAGTCCTGAAAAAAATCTGTCCTACCCACTCAACAGGGCAGAACATCTGTTGTTACTTGTCATCCCTACTGAGTGTGATGGGAAGTGCCCTCTCACATAGATGAGATGCTCAGTCTCCTGTGCTTGAGTTGTGCTGCGTGGGAAGTATGATAGACTCAGCACTAATGCTTTACTGGAACAACTTACCAATAACGCAGAGAGGTTACACTGCTGTTTCTCATGTCAGAAACATAGAGAAGGTAACAGGAGCAGCAGCCAACACTCTGCAATTTTTTTTTTTCTTTTAGTTGACATTTAGACCAAGAGTGTGTTATCTTTGGTAACAAGGTGTAGGATGGTTTCCAAGTCATCATCTTTTCATCTGAATATTTAATAAGAGTTTTTGTGTATCAGAAGGCTTGGCATACCTCTTTGAGATCATGCTGTGCTGTGCTCTCGTTGCCTGAGATAGCTGGAACAGCTAACTGTAGAGAGCGACTTGCCTGCAAAGACTTTGAACAGTTATGGTGACAAATGGATACAAGGTTAGTTTAATTTAGTTGTGGGGTGTGTATGCATGCTGGGCAGCAAGGCTGTTCTCCAAGGGTGGAGAAAAAAACACAGGCCAGTGTGGATCATCAGATTTGCATCTGTCTGATATACAGAGCTGAAATCTTGGAGTCATACTTTTTATTATTTGTTTACTCTTCGTTTAAAGACTGTCAAAAGATGTAGGCAAGTGGAAGATAAGCTCTGAAGAGCTCCCAAATTGATTTTGCTTGTGATGAGTAGCTAGGGAGAGCTGTAACAGTGGGAGAGTGAGGGTCAGGCTTCACACTCCCAGTGGAGAGTGCATGAATTCGTGTGTCTGCCTGTGGTTTACTTTCTGTGTGAAACTTGTTTGACGCCCTAGGCAGCGGAGGAGGAGGAGGAGGTTACTTAGATAACTAAGGAAAAGACAGTGGTGTGCCAGCTGACGACTTACGGTGAACGAACTCAGTGCATGATGATTGAGACAATGGTGAGATGAACACTGTAGTCAGAAGAGCATATTTTTCATGGGCAGAAATGGCATTTATCTAACTTGCACTCTCTTTCCTATTTCTCATGAAAAGTCAATGGTAGTTAGGGTGACTATGTTGAATCATTTCATAAATGATCCTGCTGTCAGTTTGCTCACAGCGTGGTCATTAGCCCATTAGCATAGCCAAGCTGAACCTGCATTTTCAGCCTACTCTACTGTCAGTCTGTAATGGCTACTCAGGCCCACTCCAGCAAACCTTGTATTTCTGAGGCAAGCAAAACAGCCTGTAGAAGTACAATCTAGGAAGTATCATTAACATAACTGTAAAGAAAATATGATGCAGATCTATAAAATACTGCTATTAGTTGTTGATATGACTATTTCCAGATTACTGGGGATGTTCCATGTATCCGTGCTGGTGAACAGAATTGAATACTTAAGGTGATCCTTATGGGTGCAGCCCATATCTGGTATACTTGCTTGCTGTAGGAAACCGGTGTGATATGCAGTGAGGCAGTGGATATACTTAAAAGGATATTGAAAGAGATTGTCAGCTTTCTTAAAAGATGATCTATGTGATAAGTGCCTAAGGACAGGAAATACATATCTGTTTTCATTTGGCTTATTTAATGGGTACCATTTGGTGGGATTTTTTTGCTTAGGGTATTTTTTTCTTTCCTTTTTTTAGTTTTCTGAGCAACTGGTGGTTTTAAAAAGGCATTTTAAAGAGGCTTTTAAAAGTGGTTGTTCTTGCTGTGTAGGACTGTTCTGTGTGGATACAGAGAGTAGGATAAACTACTTCATCCTCCTGTGGTCTCATTGCAAAGACAAATCCTGAGCCATAGGCACTGGGAATCGACTCAGTCATGGCCATTATCCAGCTGCCACAGGCTAAGAGCAGCATGCCCTCTCCTGTGCCCTTACATTTGGAGTTCAGAGCTAAAAAGATCATAGGCTTCTTGCAGCCAGAACATCTTACTAACAAGTGGGCTTTCTGTGGTCAGTTTGCTAATGCAGTTTTATCCCAGAGAGAGTCTCTTTCTTCTGCAAATTAAAGACCCCATTGGTTTATTATCGTGTTTATATGCTTTCTATTCTAGACCTAAATGAAATGTTGATCCCCCTTTAAATTGCTTACAAATGACAGGAAGTGCTTTTCCTTGCCTTCCCTGCGTCACCTCTAGTGTTTTTAATTTGTCTCCTTCCTTTCTTCCTCTTCCCCCTACTATGATTCTTCATGGCCGTGCTGCTCATGGCTTTCACCCTCTTTGAGAGGAGCTATTTCTACAAAGAAAAGGTTGCAAGCTCTTGAAGTGGAGCATGAAAGTAGCAAATCAAATCCTTCATGCACTGAGGCCAAGAAAAGTTGCATGGGATGAAAATGATGTTCCAGGTCTGCCAAGTGGCTCAGCCATGTTGGATTTTTAACTTCCATTTTTAATTTTTAAAGGAAAATGGAATGGGGATAATTCAATCTCTGCTGAATTCATCCTTCTTTCAGAAAAGGAGAAAAGCAGTACCAGAACAAGGCAATGGGAGAGGCTGGGATCCAAAGAGTCCAGTTAATGACTAAATCAAAATGTTTCAGTGCTTTTAATGTTAAAATATTCCTTGAAACACAAGTTTAACTGTGCTTGTTTTTACTCGGTGCAGAGCTCTTTTTTCTCTATGTGCATTGCTGTTTAGCTAACTTAAATGGGTGACTACATAAGAACTTCTTAACCATCATGTATCAGACCACTGCTGGAAGCGAAGTAAATGAATGTCCTGACTGGGTCTGGCACATGTTAGCTTCATATTTCACTTTCCCTGCACAAAAAGATAAGAGGAATGCAGGCCTTTCCCTTATCTCACACAGTAATAATGTACCTCAGCAAAGATTTGAATGGGCTGCAGGATTATTAGGATTGTAATGTCTTGCTTTCCTTTTCAAGTAGGATGAAACTAAATGTAATCATCTGTTGGGTTAAATGAACACAATGGGTTCTTAGCTGTAGGCTTTAATCATAGTGGCGATCTTGTATGATTTGGCTTGGCAGGGCTCCGGGCTCACAAAAATTTTGTAGGTGTCAGATGTTTGGCACTCAGAACCGAGCGCTGAGAGCTGTTGTCATACTTGTGTCTCCTTGCTTTCTAGTCTTTCAATTTTAGAATACTGTCACCATTTTAAGCATGTTATATTTAGAGGAGGCTAATGCAAAGCTGCTTGGCTAAGTCCAGTTTCAGTTACGTGGGCTTGAGCGATAGTCTGCTCAAATGCTGTTGTGTGCATTCTGGCAGGATCATGGTGCTGTCTAGTAGGATGTTTGCTCAGCTACGGAGCTGGGCTTTTATGGTCTTGGTATTTTCTAGGAGCAAACTGAGAGTGTGGTGTGGCTGCTGCCTATAATATGACTATTTTGTCAAGTTCATTTCTAAAAAGAAAACAAAACCAAGCTTTGAAACTATGCATCTCAACTTGACAGCTTATTTTCTAAACAGCATATGGAGCAGCCACTACAGCCGTGCTTACTGTGCTCTGATCAGCTGCTTTTTGTAATTTTTCAGTCACAGTGTCCTATATGCTACAGCCCCTTTTTTTCCATATCCCTAATGCTCTGTTGCAGGCTTTCCTACCAGAGAAACGATGACGATGAGGAAGAAGCCGCCAGAGAACGTCGCCGACGGGCTCGACAGGAGAGGCTGCGGCAAAAGGAAGAAGGAGATCTATCAGGAGAAGTAACGGAGAAATCAGAAGTTAATGCCCAAAACAGGTAAAGGTCTGATAATGTTTACTGACAAGTTAACAGTAATTTTTGTTCAGAGTAGAGAAGTATCTTGAAGAGATCTGTTTTGCTACTTAAATTTTAAGCACCAGGTTTGGCCATCCTTGCTCTGAAGAGGACCTAACACTGTAAGAAGCACCACTGGCTGTGTCTACACAGTGGGGTGTGAGCATCACTGAAGCTGGGCTTGAGGCCATGCTCATGACCCATTCCCAGGGTGTCCTCAGGGCTATCTATGGGGTAACTCAGCTGGGGCTCATGAAAGGAAATATCTCTGATGCATCCTGCTGTCAGATTCCCTCAGGCATGACTGCCTCTGGCCTCACAAACCTCCAAATCTTTTGTCCTGCTTATAGGGACCATGGTGTCATGGGGCCAAGTTGCAGCTGAAACATGCCTGCAAGGTGGTGGGTGTGAGTGCTAGGCCTCAGCCTTCATCTGGCATTGTCAGAGTCACACAGCTATGAACAGCAGAAAAGTTTATGGAGTGAGGTGCCACTTGTCACAAGCTGAGTGGGCAGAGCTGGCCTTCCAGTCTGTCCATCATTTATTCAGCTTCATGTAATCACAAATAATATATCCAGATTTCCAGTAACCATAACACAATTGACAGAAGAGACCAGAAATAAACATTGTGATATCATGGTAATAGATATTAATCACAAGTAGCATTCTATTAAAGACAAAGAGAATGGATATAGATAAGAAAACAGCAGCATTTCTGATTGTAGATGATAATATTTTTCCACAATAGAGGAAAAAAAAAAATCTAAAAAGAAGGAAGAAACCTGCACACAAGAGAATTAAACAGCTGAATTTTGAAGGAGGCAAAAAACCTCCAGGGGCTGAGAGCAAGATCCAGTCCTGATACCTACAGGTGTTGAACAGCATGTCTTAAATCAAGTGCTCTGCTCACTCCACTTCCTAACAGATTATTGTCCCTGTACAGACAATCACAACCTCACTGCACCCTTAATTGCCAGACTATCCCATTACGGACTGTATCTATGGATGTTGTTGCTGAACAGGAGTAGCTTCTTGTTGCTAGAGACGTTCACTGAAGTCAGAAAGTATCTTGCTTGTGTAGCATCTTCAAAAATTTTGCCTGGTGGGAAGACTGCGCATAAGACATGTACGCCTCAGGCCAAGCTGAAGCGAGCCTTAAAACAAGCTAAGGTCTTCCAAATATTCTGCTGCACAGTGCAGAGGGAGAGGATGAATTTTTCAGGGTTGTTCATGTTTCAGCTGCCCCAAGTGTCAGGGACCGTTTCAGGGCCTACTGAGGTCAGTGAGACTCCTGGGGACTTTAGTGGCTGTTGGAGCTCACCTAGAAGGGAACCTTTCCAGGCTCTGACATTGTGAAACACCACATTCTTATACAAGCAGAAATGCCAAAATTAATCCCCAGAACCATTTTGCTAAATTTTGAAGTATGCAACCTGTTGTGTTTTCAAACCATGGGATGATGTCGTAGTAAGCTTTCTTCCTAGAACCAGTTAAGTGCATATGTTGTTAGAAAGATTTTTTTTTTTTTTTAATGCAAAATTGTCACTTTTATGTAGCGTGGCAGAAGATGAAACCAAGCGTACTACAACCACAGGGGGAACAGATGATGAAGCTGCATTGTTGGAGAGGCTGGCAAGACGGGAGGAGAGACGCCAAAAACGTCTACAGGAAGCCCTGGAACGTCAAAAGGAATTTGACCCCACGATCACAGATGGAAGCTTGTCACTGCCCAGCAGGAGAGAAGTAAACAATGTGGAAGAAAACGAGACCACGGGGAAAGAGGAAAAGGCTGAAACACGCCGAGGACGCTATGAGATTGAGGAAACTGAAATGGTTACCAAATCATACCAAAGGAACAACTGGAGGGAAGAAGGGGAAGAGGAGGAAAAAAAAGAAGAAAAAGACAAGGAGGAGGTACAGGAGGAGAAACCGAAGGAGGTCCCCGTAGAGGAAAATCAGGTAGATGTGACAGCAGAAAAATCCACAGATAAAGAAGAGGTAGCAGAAACAAAAAATCTAGCTATAAATGCAGAGGAACAGAAAGCAGAGAATGATACAAATGCTGTGCCGGAAGGGGAGCAGAGTATAACCAATGCTGTAGATAAAGAGAAGCTTAGGGATGAGGAAAAGGCTGAGGAAGAAAGGAAGAAAGCAGAAGAAAAGGAGAAACTTGAGGCAGAAGAAAGGGAGAGGTTAAAAGCAGAGGAAGAAAAGAAGGCAGCTGAGGAAAAACAGAAAGCAGAGGAGGAAAAGAGGGCAGCTGAGGAAAAACAGAAAGCAGAGGAGGAAAAGAGGGCAGCTGAGGAAAGAGCGAGGGCTAAGGCAGAGGAGGAAAAGAGGGCAGCTGAGGAAAGAGCGAGGGCTAAGGCAGAAGAGGAAAAGAGGGCAGCTGAAGAAAAGGCTAAGCTAGAAGCAGAGAAAAAAAAGGAAAAACAAAAGATGGAAGAAAAGAAAATAGAAGATAAACAGGTAAAAGAGAAGAAAGTACAAGAGGAAAAACCTCAAGCAGCTTTCCTAAGAAAACAGGTACAGTAAACATTTTGCACCAAAATAAGACACCTGTGGTTTGTGAGAAATGTAATGCAAGAAAAAAAAAAAAATTGGAATTTCCTCACAGATCTATTCCTGCACTGAAATGACTAATACTTGTGCTTTCTCCCTTGCTCTGTCTTTTTAAAAATAAAGCTCCTTACTTCTGCTTACCAATAATGCAGTGCACAGCATGCCTGACCTCACTCCATCGTTCAAAGAAAACCTTGCATGTTCAGACCTCTGCATGTGTTTTGCTGCCTTTTTTCTCAGCTGCTATAAACTGGCCTAATGCAGTAACACATGAGGTGGAGGCAGACACATCTTGGCACAAAATATTATGAGCACCTGGTAAACTGTGTGAGGAACATGTGTGTTAAATGCAATCACGAGAGAGGGCTCTCTGCTGGGACATGTGAGCATGAAGCCACGCAAGGGAGAAAGGCCCAGATGGGGGAATGGGAGCATTTGGAGAGGGTGGAGGGAGCACAACTGCACACGGAGATGTGGGCACAGCAGCATATGATGGAGATGTGGCTGCACACAGGATTGATACATGAACACAGTGTGGAGATACAAAAGTGCAAACAGATGTGATGTTTTCATATTTAAAAAAATTATTAAAAACCCAAAAACAAAGGGGGAAGAAAAAGAGGTTAAAGTGGAAGCTAAAAAGGAAAAGTTACCAGATGAGAAGCTCCGACCTACCTCCAAAAAAGATCAGGTAACTTGTAAACCATTGATTTAGATGTTGTAGGGAAATTTGAGATAAGAAAGTAAATAAGAGGCCTATAACTGAAAGTTGCTTGTTCAGCAAAGTACTTAAGTATGTGCTTCACTTCAAGAATGTGGGTAATCCTGCAGAAATAAATAGGGATGAAGCTACTTATGTGCTTAACATGAGGTAAATGCTTAAGTATTTTGGTCTTTCGGGGCTTTAGAACCAAGTCCTCTTTGTCTTAGAACAAATATTTCAGGAAACTCAGTTCGGTCAGTAATGCAAGGATGGTTTGCACCCTAGGGATGAATTTTTCAGGACTGGATCAACTAATCACCCTTCCCTGGTTTCCTCCCACTTTACTGTGAACTTTTTCCCTACGTCTGAGACTTACTGTTGCAATCCTAATAATAATAATCTAGGCCCTTTGGCCACCTGACTGCCTTAACTAATGATTTTCCCCCAAACTGCAACACCCCATGATATAAACCATGAATACCCAAGATTCTTCTTTTGTTTTAAAGAGAAAATCTACAAAATTTACTGCATTGCATTTCCACTGTAAACACAGGAGCTGGTGCCATGGTGTTTTACTGTATGGTAAGTAAATAAGATTTGGGGACCATTTACTCTTCAGGTTACACCTGGACACAGGGAGCCAAATCAATGTTGTGTAGCAACTGTGCTTTTGATTCAGTGCAGCAGGTATCAAAATACCCCCAATTCCACTCAGGCATCGAGACTGGTCAGGGCCTTGGAGGTTTGGACCCATTTGGGTTCGGCCAGGTCTGTGTGGCTTAAAGGGAGCAACAGAACAGAGATCCTAGTAATAGGCAGCTTGCTGCCTGTCTAGCTGATTGGGAGCACTGAAGGTTGTAGAGGGTCCGGTCCAGGGTCCTTAGCTGTTGGATTAATTCGGAACATGCTGTAGATGCTTAGCTCACCCTCAGAAAGCGATGGAGGCAGATCATGTTACAAGTTTTTATGTGCAGTTGCCTGGCTTGATCATCCAAGGTATCATATTTTGAAAAAAGTACACATGAGATTGGAAAGGCAAATGAAGTGATGAAGATGGTTAGATGGAAGGTTCCTAATGAATGGGGAGAGAGATTGGCAATACTAGGATAAGTTACTCTAGAAAGGAGAAGAGTTAAATGAGTCCTAATGGAGATGCTTCAGAATAGTGCACTAGAAAAACTGATCACTCTACTTTAAATTAACCCAATTGCAAAAGCAGAGGAAAGAGCTGCACAAAAAATAAGGGATGGATTATATAAAAATTCTTATAAGACAGAATCAGCTTGTAATATTCACCGTTGCACACAATCTCTGAATATTATAAGTAAATGTAAAAAGGAGGATGTAACTGACCACAAATATTGAGGTCAGTCAAGTCTCACTGGAGCTCTCATCGTGCCTTTAAACCATAGCCACAGGGCTAGATTATTCTAGGAAATTGGTAAGACTTTTAAAAGTGACTTGCGATTTTATTGCTTCCATTTTTGGATGCTCAAGCTGGGACAATTTAAGAGAGTCCCACTTTTAGTGCAATGCTGAATACCCATCCACTGAAAGGTAAATCTTTTGCAGGTCTATCAAGCTGAGCATTCAAAGTGTTTTGCTCAGGTTTGAAAATCTCAGTTGTTACTACTTGGTTTGTGAAGAAAAATTGACAATCTCAGGCTCCAAGTCAAGATTAGGCTCCCATCTCCACTCCTTCCCCCCCTTCAAGGACATACAAATTCAATGAGGCCTTTTTCTGAACTATACATGCAGTTAAGAGGATGGGAGTATATGATGAACAAGATCCTGAAGGAATACAGTGTATCTACATAATCAGATTTTGCTTTTGCAGTTGTGCAACACAAGCACATGTCTTTTCTTAATGTTACCAAAATCTGGCCCTCAAAGTTCAGGTTGTGATCAAATTAGCAAGCAAAATCTGTCTATTTCTCTGAAGTGCCCCACAATTTTTGGTTCTCAAAAGTGGCCTGGAAAATTCATAAGAACAAGCTTTCTCATGATGTGAGACTCCTGGTATTTCCTGCTTCCAGTTTGGCTAGACATGCTGCAACAGTTGCTTTTCTCATGGTATTTGGGTATGGTAGCTGGCTCTAAATGGAAGCCCTAGACCCAGATGCCCACAGCTTTCAAGTCACCAAGTAACTGAGCCCAAATAAGGAATCAAATTTGCCAAATGGCCTCAACCTCAGTAACTGATTCACTGCGGTCTGAAGGTGTTCAGAGTCTAGATTTAGACATCTCAACTCTTAAATATTAGCATAACACCCTAACAGGAAAGAAGCAGTGTAGAGAAAGATTAAAATAGAAATAAATAAAGCTGGAAATTAGCTAAACATGCTTTTGGTCATGTTCTATCTTGACTTGATGGTCAAGATTTGTGAGAGCATGTGAACTGTTTTCAGTTCAGGTAATACCACCTGTCTACTCCAACTGGAGGCAGTGTAGTCCTTTTTACTGAATTCAGCAGAAGCTGAATTAACCTGTAATTTAGGGAAGCCCTGAGAAAAGGGAAAGTACTTTCTCTTTTGCCTGCATTTGGAATAAGATATAATGGTTTCTGCTTCTGTGCTAATCAATCTCTGTTTTGGCATTAAAATTAGTAGAAGGATTGGGCCCAAAAGCTGTGAAATGTTTCTGTAATATCTTGTTTTATCATCTTTTTGAATAAAGAGGCCAAGCTGTATTAATGGTTTTCTCAAGTGCAGACACATTATCATAAGTCCTACTGGCTTCTGAAATGCTATTTCCTAACCTATTAATTTTTAAACTGTATTATTTTAATATTAGTTTTCTCAGCAATTTCAATTAAGATGTAAGAGATATGAACCTCCCCAGTGGACTTCAAAATATCAGGCAGCTGGAAGTATTGGCTTTTTAATGAGACTTAGAAAGGTCTTGATGAAAATCTCAGCAAAGGAAATCCTATGCTCTCAAAATCCCAACACAGACATCCTGGCATGTGAAATCTTGCAACAATCAACATCGCTGGTTTCAGTATCACCCTGACTGGGACTGAAGGGTTAGGAGATTGCTAGCAGGCAGCAGAGATTTTTGCTGTGAACATGATCGCTAGCTGCAATCTTGCTCAGATTTGGGAGCACCCAAAAGATGTTAGTGTCTGATGGCATTCATTAGGGTCAATGAATAGCCCCGTTTGTCTCAGTCCAGATCCTAGAAAACAGAAAATGATTCCTTGAGGCTGCTAGCAATAATGGCCTTGTTTGCTAGCAGTCACAGCATCATGGCCAAAGAATGCACGGTCATGGAAACTGAACTCCCCTCTTGTCCGTCAGGGTGCTTCTGCCAGGTTGTGGCTAAAGCCCATTGGCAGGAGAGGGTGGGGAAAGTCTGCACTGCCGCTGCCTGCTCTCAGGACAGAGCAAATGTCTCTCAACATCCCTCACCAGTGGCAAATTTGCTCAAGTACTTTAACCACCCAGTACTCACTTGTAGTATGTGCCACCTTGGCCTTGTCCATCGTATGAGTTTCTGTGAGCGAGCAAACTGGCCTCAGGTAGTCAGAGGCAGACTTTGGGACTTCACTCAGCAGCTCAATACAATGCCTTAGGAGGATCTTGATTTTGAAGATTCTGAACTCATCCTTTATTGGTAATATTCCATCTCTGGAAGCTCTTCTTTGATGAGGAAGGATAGAATTTGATTTGATTTGGGGAGGGGTGTATGTATTATTTTTTTATTTCAAGGTGTAGCTTGGAATGCCATAAAAGCAGTTGTGTTGCAGACAGAACTGTTATGGTAGTTCTTTTTCTTTCTAGTTAGCAAATGGGATGGCAACAGGCTTCCAAGGGACAAAAGTATTTTTTTTCTAAAGGTCTTCAAATGAATTTTTCACAGAAGGTATTTCTTGTTTGTCAGCTAGAATCTTCCTCCAATGTGGTAGAGCTGGGGAAAAAAAAAAATATTTTGGAGGTAAATGTTTCATCTGCTGCTGTTGAAAGTTTATTTAGGCTGGTAGTCTAACTAACTGAGTTGGAATAATTCTACCTGAGGATAAAGAACTTAAATCAGTCCATATCCTTCTCCTTTTATCAGCATCTAGCCATGGCTCAGCATACTGGGATCAGGCCATCTGTGGTATTGATAAATACTTCAAGCTGATAGCTCTGAAGGAATACTGGAGAGTGAAATCCACGCACTAAATATACTTGATTACTATTAAGAATTACAGACAAAGCTTTGTAAGGATAGAAGGAATTTTTTCTCTAGTGTTTCTGGAGAGAACACTTGCTTCTTCATAGGATTAAATATTCATGTCTGATGACACTATCCATGACTAGCCACTGGTAGGACTGTGCTTTTTGTCAGAGTAAGTTTTACTCTGATACAAAGATATTTTTGTGTTTTGGCCATTATTCCTGCAATACAGAACTATCCCTCTGCTATGACACTGGAAAGAGCGTGAACTTTGTCGAGCAAACTTGACAATCAGTGACGGTTATGTGTTATTTTTATTGCTCCAATGCCCTAAACCTTGTACCAAGAATGTATCAACGAGTCTAGCCCCAAAGAATTTGCAGCCCAGAATCTTAATAGACAACAGGTGAATGATGCTGCAGTGGGAGGGAAGAGAATTGGGGTGCCTCAGTGGCGTGCAGTTGCAGAATGAAGAAATGTGGTACTATAGTCTCATGGCCGCAACAAACTTTCACAGAAGACTGATAATGTTGTTCAAGATGTTTTCAGCAGAGTGGCAGTTGGTCACAGTTTAGAGCTTTACAGACTACTTCTGCCATAAAGGACATAAACATTTTGAAGACAGTTGCTTAGTTAATCATTAATACCAAGAAATCTGTGTTCCTCTGCTGTTATTTAGAATGCCTCATTGTGACTTCTTTTTTTTGTTTGTTTGTTTTTTTGTTTTGTTTTGTTTTTGTTTTTTGTTCTATGATTTACGGTATCTTCTGAGCAGGTAAAAGATGACAAGGATAAAGGAAAAGCACCCAAAGAGGAAATGAAAAGTATCTGGGATCGTAAGAAGGGAGTTCCTGAACAAAAGGCGCAGAACGGAGAACGTGAACTCACTGCCCCAAAACTTAAACCTACTGAGAGTGCTTTTGGGTAAGTTCCAAGTGAGCATTGGACTTGTTTATGTTACGGCAGAGCAGGGGACTATCTCTGGGTCTCTCTTTAATAGCCTTGTAGCAGCTGAGTAAAAGACTTCGGTTGGCAATGTTGGCAGAGGCTCTAGCATTCATTGGGTTGTAGGTATGAATTAAGGCTCCTGGCCTATTTTCTAATGAACTGCCCCCACATTGTTGCAGTAACAAAATGAAGTACAGAAAGCAGATGTAAATAATAGTCTTGCTCCCTCAGTAAAGAGGAGTGGCTTATTTTTGCTCTGCTGGGGTTTTCCTTCCTTGAAGGACATTTATTTCTAATATCTGTACAGAGGCCAGTAATCACTACATCCCAGATTTTGTGTTTTCTAATTTTTGAAGTCAGATCTCAACCTTTACTGATGTAACCTATTTCCAATTACCCACCTGCTTTTAATCAGACTCTGCTTATCAGTATGGAGCACAATCCAGCTGGTAACTCTTCAAAGAGCTTCTCTCTTGATTTCAAGGCAAACCTTGAAATTAATGGCTTCTCCAGAAAAATGATATTTCAGTTAGGTGAAAACCTCTCCTAGACAAAATGTTCTATTTTTTGTCTTTTTATAAGCTGTGTCACAGTTTGATTTTTATTCTTCTTTTCAAGGAAATATTTGCCTTATGGCTATATTGGAAAATTCAATGAAGGTAACAAATTTCTAGTGAAAAGTTTATTAAAAAAGGATTCTGCCTGCTAAAAGGAGGGGATATATAAAGCAGAGCAGTTGTTCTTCCTTTTATCAAAAAAACAGGAATGAATAGGTTAGAAATCTAAATTTGTTTTCCTTCTGCACCTCTTTACAGGCAAAGAAAATGTTAAGTTCTCCAGGTACTTTTAGAAATCTGTGCATGGCAGATGGGATTTCTGTTGTATCTCAGCATTCCCCTCGTGATTCTTCCGGGAAAAACAAACTTTCTCAAAATAAAATGCAGTTCAAAAGTCCCTGGAGACACCCTGACCTAAGGCCAAAAGACAGACAGAGATGGAGATGGAATAGCAGGAAATTGGCCTTGCTCAGAACCATCCTGCTTCATGACTTGGGTCACATCATCAATAACATGAGAATAGTTTTCTAAAAATATTTTTGTTGTGTTTTCATTTGCTTTACTTCCTGTGGGAGACAGGCCTTAGTGGCAACATTGTAGATTTGAGTTTCCACTCCTTTTTTCTTTTTCTGTTATTCTTCTACTATTTCCCAAATGTGGGAAGAAGCCTGTTTAATAGCCTTTTATCAGCTTGAGTAGAAGACTTGGGTTGGCAACTTCAGCAGAGGCTCTAGTGTTCATTGGGTTGTTAGGTATGAATTAAGGCTCCTGGCGTGTTTTCTAACAAGCTGCCCTCACAGTGGTGGGCTTTGTTTGGAACTATCTTTCTTCTTGTTTTTACATGAAATATCAGATACTAGTTAGGAAGCACGTAACTTGGCTAACTCTCAGTGGTGAGGATTGAGAATAAAATAGGGTAGTGGAGGCTAAAGAAAAATCCTATGTGTCTTGTTTGTCTACGTCAGTCAGTAAGAGAAATACAGAATAAAACCCCATTTTATGGCTTCCCCTTCCCATCTCCCCTCCCACCTGCCTTCCTCCCTATTCTCAAACAGGACTGCAAAAGTCCTAAATATGATGTAACATGTTTTTTCACATTGTTCTGACATTTTTGGCTCCCACAAACCACTTCTTTCCTTTTCCTCCTTGTCTGAAAGCTGGCAACCAACTCCATTTCTTAGCACCAAAGAGGTGCTTACGAAACTCTTCCTCCACCCAGCATCTCAATACTGATTTCCCAATGTCGACAGTAGGGAACAGAGATTCCCAGAATCTGTTGAAAACAGAGGAGTTTGGGAGGTGGAGGAAAATAAGGGGAATTACTGCCAGTTTATTGTTTGCTATTTTGGATTATGCAGAACTAGTAGGAGAAGTCCTGTAAACTGCATGAGAATTAAATAAGCTAGAAACTTTAAATGACCTTCTTTGTAAGGAGGACAAAATAGTCACCTGAGGTCTCCAAACAAAAATGTTAAGACTACGTTCTACCTTTGGCTTTTATCAGTTGAAAGCTGAGAGTAGCTGTTAATTTCATTGAGGCTATCTGCACCGAAGTCACTGAGGACTAGCCTTTCATCTGTGCTGATATAAAACAGAGTGGCTATTTATTAAGAGAATCTTGGCAAATGTTATGTTCTTAGTTCTCTTAATTCTGAGGGGTGAGTATTTGCCCTTGCCAGGGATATCATTATGTCTACCAGAAGTGACCTCTTGCATCTTCTTTGGACCCGAACCTTGCTGATCTGGGTGGGTTGGCAACACAGACTTCAGAGACCAAGAGGGGAAAAAAAAATAATAAAAAAATAGTGAGGTTCCTGGGATGTTTGCTATAGAAGCTACAACCTTGCAATGAAGCAGGAAAGCCTTAAAATAGCCAGGAATTTCTCATGGCCTGTGCAGGATAGATGCACTGGATCCTTAGAAATACTTAGTGCCTTATTAGAGGCTTGTGGAACATTCTGGGTTCTCAGTACCTCTGCAAACTGAATCAGAGGTATTTCAGGCTTAAAAAGTCATACTTTCCCTGGAAAATGTCAGTAAAAGATCTGATGAACCTTTCTGTTCATACAGGCTAGGAGAATTCAAGTGATACGTGTTATAGATGAAATAGGAACATTTTTAGGTTTTAAAACACTGTAAGCAGTAAGATTCTGTCCCCTTTCTTGTCTCCTTCTGTTTTCCCCGAGTCAAGTAATTTATTCTGTCCCCAAAGATACTTGTCTTTTTCTAGAGGGTTTATAAAAAATACTTGCCTTTAAAAGCAAAGGATTAGTGCATCTTTTATTACACAGAACATAGCATAATATTTTTGCTATTAGTTTTTTATATGTATATTTATCTCATTTAAAATCAACAGAGATGAATTAGTTATGGCTTTCCATTGCTTTGTTTTCTGTATGAAGTACAATATGTTTTTGGAAGTGTTTCCTCTGTACACAAACTGTAGAGCAAAGGTGTGAAACTAACAGTTTACTGTATACCATAGAGGTGGTGATGAGATATGATACCTCATGCTGAAGTTACAGATGTTAAATATTTCAAGCTCAGTTACTGAATTTTCTTAAAAATGGAGGTGGCCTGAGTTCTCAGGCAGGGTGGTGCAGCTCCTGAGCACACAAGCACACGAGAGACTCTTTCCTCATTGGCTGTGGATGGGAGAGGTGCTCCTTGTAGTCTCCCAGCCTATTAACTCCTGACGAAAATGTTTCGGGCCTGTCGTAGTTTGCAAGGAGCAAAAAGCAGTATCTTTGAGTGCCGGACTCTGATGTTGCTGGTGAGCACATGGCAGCGGGTGGCTCTGGCCAGGAAGGGAAAACCTGTGGTGCATCACCTTCCCTTTCATTTCTTTCCCAGCCGCTCCAATTTGAAAGGGACCGCAAATGCCGAAGAAGTGAAGCCAGGGTCTCAGTTTGAGGCTGGAAAGCGGCTAGAAGATCAGCGTCGTCGTCGAGGTGAGAATGAGGAATTTGAGAAGCTGAAGGAGAAGCAACAGGAGGCGGCGGCAGAGCTGGACGAACTGAAGAAAAGGCGGGAGGAGCGCCGGAAAATCCTGGAGGAAGAGGAGCAGAAGAAGAAGCAGGAGGAGGCTGAGAGAAAAGCCAGAGAGGAGGTAAGTGTAAAATACGAAGTACTGGGCTCTGATTTTATTCCCTTGTTGTTACTACTTTACTTCCATTGGCCTTGCACTAGTTGATAACTCTTTACAGCAGTGTCTGCACAGACACTTTGAGGCAAAGAAATGGGTGGGGCTGGAGGTTGATGGGTCTGTATTTAAGAAGAGGGCAGAAATGAGGCCACGGAAGATTGGCTCACAGGTGAGGAAGGAGCATGCAACAAGGAAGGCAAGACCAAACCCAAGCATACAGGCCAAAGTGTGCTTCTCCTTCTTGGATCTGATGTTGCTGTGTGGGGAACTGCTGCTGTGACTTCGCTTCAAATTGCATCCTTTATCTGGACTCTCTGGGTTGTATGCTCTTGTGGCCATCGCTGTTTCTTAGCATCTGTCAGGAGATGGTCTGTTGCAACAGACCTTGATTTCAAATATACTACCCTGCATTAAAATCATCCCATTTTCTGACCTTCAGATTTAACTGCAAGTATGCTGTATTTGATATCAAGTGATCACATCACATAGATGCTGTAGTGACGACCTGAGGTAAAACACGTAGTCATCCAGGGTAGAAATGTTACAGCTCTAGCCTCAGGAAAGACAGGGCTCTAATGAATGTCTTCACAAGTCGGGATTTCATCTGCGATAGTTGCGAATTTCTTATCTTCTCGGGGACACAAATGTTGGGGGCAGTGTTATAGCCACAGAGTTCTTAATTTATTCAGGGTGTCTTTTTGACATTGCACAAATCAAATTATAAAGTGCATGTCAAAATTTGTCTGCTGCAGATGATGTTATATATCGTTACAATGGGCTAGATCTCATTAGGAAGATATTGTTGTCTATTTAAATATTAAGTACCCAAGCACATCTGTTTGCTTGTACTTTCTCTGCCAAGGGACTCTATAAATAGGATTTCCAAATCTCTGGTGCATCATTTAGGAATCTTAGTTGTTTGGAAAACAGATGGTAGATGACTAATAATAGTGTCTGGCAGCTGAATGCCAGTTGCTTTAATATACTAAGCTCTTTACAGAAGAACTCAATAGATGCTGAGATTGTCAATACCTTGCTGGTTAGACCCTGCTGACCAGTGCTTACAATGGTTGTGCTTTGAGGGCTTCTAGTTTGACTTGTGGCTTATGAAGTAAAAACTCATGTTATCTCTTTAGAAGGAAAACTGTAAGCATTTAATCTTCACTTTTCTGGGCACCTATTGATTTTTCTTTGTGAAGTATTAACCTTGGCACAAAAAGTGCCAGAGTAGATTGACAGAATAACAGTACAAAGAGCATATGTGAGGATACAGAGAAACTGAATTTTACTATTTTTATAAATGTGCTTTTTTTTCTCATTTTAAGTGGCGCTATACAGCAATAAATCTGGTGACCTCACTGGGAGGAGACACTAAAGCAGCACAGACTAGCTGTCTTCCCTGCTTCCTTAACGCTGTGATGGATTAGCAGCAATACATTGCTAGATTTCAGGCAGGTCACTGAACTTTTTTGGCTGGCATGAAAATCTGTTCTTAGAAAATTTGGTAAATGTTTGCAAGACTGTAAAGCCCTGTTATGGTGATGTAGTTTCTGAGCGAGTAAGTGACCATTCATATTTTTTTAAGGAGGAAAAGAGGAGGATGAAGGAAGAAATTGAAAGGAGAAGGGCTGAAGCTGCTGAGAAACGTCAAAAGATGCCAGAAGATGGCGTATCTGAAGACAAGAAGCCATTTAAATGTTTCAGTCCTAAAGGTTCATCTCTCAAGGTAACCTCCCCACTAACATCTATATAGTACATAAAAAGTAATGGGGGTTGCAATCCAGACCAAGAGCCAAACACCAAAGCAGTGTGGAAATATTTGAAATCAGACCTGGGACAATCCTCTGAAGTAGGCCTTAGCCTGAGAACTTTAGCTGAAAGACTTCATTCATTGGCATGTTTGAAAACTAGAGATCTTTTCTAAAAATAGAGTCTAGACTGGGAGTTACCTGTTCTTGTTGATGAAAAATGTCCAAAAAGGATCTTCACCTTCAAACCAAATTATTTTGGAAACCTAGAGCTGTATTACTGTGTTGATTTTCAATGTTAATTTATTATAGGAGTGCTTTGTGAACTAGAGTAGATAAAGATCACAAATGTTCTCTCTCTCCTTCCACATCCACAATTACTTTCTTCCTTGCCAGATTACTTTGTCTTTGAGCATATTCAGCCTAATCATCATTAATTGAAACTGCTCCATATGGGAGTTCTAGCTTATGTCTAATCCTCCTAAAAATAACATCTAGAAGTACTGCGCTGGATTTAATTTTCTTACATAACGGGGAAAAAAACCACATTCTGTTGCTGCAGGAATTTCTAAGTGGTCTTCTGTGGCCTCTATTATACTGGAAGTCAGATAAATCAATTAAATGGCCTTTCAGCATGGAAGAGGAATCCTGGCCCACTGAAATTATTGGGAACTTTGTTTTGGTATGCAGTCCAGTTGCTTTCTCAGCTCAAGCTACAGATCTACTAATCGTTTTCAACTATCTTTTCCTTTTCTCATTTTGTGTCATTAGTCATTTAAAAATCCAAAATGTTTGTCAAAAAAGTCCCCTTAGTGGACACTAGAAGAGAAAAGAACCAGGCAGGAGGTTATCAGGTAGGAGTTTATTGGACCATGAAGTGGATTTCCATGGGATTAAGAACTGTATTTGTTAAGTGACAAACTGCATTTAGTCAAAATTACATTTTCGCTCACAGAGAGCTACGCTTTGAACTGATCTGGAGCTTCAGCCCTATACTATTTTGGGTCCAGTTCTAGCAAATATAGTATCCAAACACTTTTGACTGGACTTGCCTTTGACTTCTCAGACACATCTGAACCTGAAATGCAAGGACAGAATGCATACAGCTGCAAACGAAGATTGCCAAGCTTCACGACTTGCTCCTATTAGATAAACCTGGTCTTGCCATTTTGGTTTCAAAAGACCATGTCAATAATAGACACTATAAATGTACAGCTTCTTCCCAGCCCTCCTGGGAGGGCTTCTTTTTCTTTTTTCTGTTTATTGGGATGCCTTTTATGACACACATTTGGAGCTTTAGTTCACAGATGACTCAGAAGAGAGGAAATTATACTTGAAAACGCATAATAGAAAGATACACATCATAATATTGGGGAGAGTGGGAAAAAACACAGGATTTGGCAGGAGGTTAATAGCTTTCAGAGAACTTTTGGACTAATGCTATGCTATTCTACTAAGTGTATTTTTAGAGGAAAGCTGGAATTTTCCAAATGTCGTTAGGCATTTAAGGTCCAATTTTTTTATGCTGATAGTTGCTGCTGGTTTTTATGGCTTGTTAGGTATATGTTGTTTGTTACAAAAACTGATATATGCAATTCTGTACACATTTTTTCTCTTTCTCTGTTTCTCTCTCTGAGAAATTGGTGTTACTGTACATATTCCAGTCCGGTGTCTGCGGGTGGCCAGAGTAGATATGTAATGCTGTTCTGAACTTCACACCCTAAACTATTTCTTGGCCTTCTGTGGTCAATAGCTGAGGGGAGAATAATCCAATTTTAATAACCTGATGTCAAATTTTGTGTCAAACTCCAGTTTTTAGAAGACACTATATTTTCTTACCTTTCATTTGGACAGACTTCTCAGGCTGGTCTAACCTGGTTGGTACACAGCTTTCTCATTGCCTGTTATGCACTGCCCAAGTTATCTTTTGACTTGTAAAGCATCTGGCACGTATTTTCTCCCTTGATTAATGTATCATCTGGTTACATGTGTCATGAGTCATGCGAGAACCCTAAATGCACAATTGTGGGTGGGCGGTTGGAATTAATAATGAAAAAAGGGAGGCTCAGTATTAAAATACTGTATGATACGTGCACATTCTGACTTCTCCTAGATTACAATCTGGCAAAGCATCTTTTTCTCCTTCCTTGTCATTCCTGATGTGATAATTTTTGGGGAAGAAAAAGAAGTTCCTGGGAATGACTTAGATGAGGAAAATAGGGCATGCTGTTTACCAAGTGAACTACAAGAACAAAGGAAAGAAGGGAGATAAACTGAAAGGGAGTGTGGCATATTACCATCTTATGGACACTGCATTTATCCATCAGGCAGGGCATGGACTAGCATGACATGCAGACTCAGAATTGAGAGACCAAGACGTGCAACTTATCTCCATGTATTACATGGAGATGCACATATATAAATGTATGTACAAATACAGACATAATATACATACATGCTTATATTTAGAAAGAACTACTGTGATTATCTAGTCTGGCCTCTAATATATTACAGCCTACACAGTGTTGACAACTCCTCTTGTTTTAACTGTTAAATACAGTATTTCCCTGAAACCTGAGACATTACTTCATCAGAACAACTACTGCAGCACAGAGTCCTCCCAGTGACAGCACCAGGGCTGATCCTTTCTGAGGGGACAGTGAAGAGGAAGGATGCAAAGTAAATACAGGCCAAGTTCATCACTAGCTCAGAGACAGAAGCAGCTTGGATTTCTCAGGACTGGTGGAGTCCCTGTGGGCAACAGCAGCAGTACCAAACCTCTGTTCAGCCTCTGCCCTCTCTCTTGTTTGTTTGTTTGTTTGTTTTTTTTGTTTTGTTTTGTTTTTTTTATAAGGACAAAGACTGGAACAACCTCTGCTGCTCTCCCATCCTGCTCTAGCTCATGCTTTCCCTAGTTTAGTTCACACAAATGGTGCTGCAGTAGAAGAATGAGATTTCCTGCATAATCTTTGTTCATTTTCCTTTTTAGACAAGTTTATTCCTTAAGTTTTCTTTGGGAAGGACTGTTATTGACTTCTTGCATAACTATTCTCTAGGTTAATTAGGAGACAAAGGGATATTTCAATACAAAGTCTCCTCTTGGGGGTGAGCTCCACCACTACAGAAATGCAAAAGCTGTTAGGCATTGGGGGAGGAAGCAATGGCAGGATTCTGGGAGCCTGGAGTATCTCTTGTCTTCGCAGAAAATGTCTCCTCAGAAACATGGGCTGATGTGGCAGCCTGCACTCTCTGCAAGTCAATGCTGATGGTTAAGCCAGAAGGTAGGACTTTTCAGGGCTTGAGGTTTTTTTGGTTTTGTTTGTTTGTTTCTTTCTTTCTTTCTTTCTTTCCTTAAAGACCTGTCTTGTCCTATCTCATTATTGCTCTCAATACCTGACAGCTGGAGCAGTGACTGGAAAGAATTAGACTCCACACAATCAGTTCTTCCTAGATGAGCTACTCTGGCAGCAGAGGGAAGATAGAGTAGTAGGAACAGGATTCGTGACAGTTGTTTTTCCCTCGTCTTTGATGCTGATGGCAGCACTCTAGTCTGGCAGGTAGACTGGAGTAAATTGGTGCACTCTGCGCAGATGCTGCTGACAGCAGGAAAAAGCCTAACTGTGCTTAATGAAGCAAAAGAACACGTGAGCCACTCAGGGAGGATAAGGAGAAACCACTTTACTCCCAGGGACTACCACTCAAAATGGATTTCAGCTAGGTTCTTCCACCTGTTGGATATGAGGCAAAATTATAATACAAGGATTTGTTTTCTGCATGCATTTCTTATCCCCCTTCCTTCTTGACCCATTTTTTGAGAAGAGTTTTTCTATATATAGGTTTACAACACTTTCAGTCACATAATATCTAATACACAGTTTAAAATTCCTAAAAACCATTTAATACTTTTGTATGAAACAAGTTTTACTGGGAATATCTAGGTGTTTTTTGTTTCTCAAGTCATTGGCTCAAATTGTGTGTTAACTCATTCCTCCTCCATTCTGTTCCTGTTATTGGAGAATGTACAGATGGAAGACAATGCACTTTGACACCCACACTTTAACTGCATTTTTAATAGGCAAGACATTTCTTGCACAATCAGCGAACAAAACATGTCTATACAATATTGAATGTGGATAAATGTATACATATATCTCTGTATAACATCTTGCTTAATTTATTCCTTTCCACTTGTATGTGCTGACCACCTAATCAGGTGTGAGACTCCCCATGGTTTTGATTTATGCCCATTGGTTTCATTTCATCTGACTTGACTTTATCAGCAGAAGGGTATGTGTCCATCTAAGCATTTTGTTGTCTAATCTAAGCTTTTTTGGTAGTTAATAGAGAGAGCGAGAGCCACACTCAGTGGACAAGGTATCCCACCTTTCCTAGGGTGAGGTGAAGTCCTCTGCCTCTCCACTGACTATAGAGGGAACCAAAATGAGTAATTTTGACTAAATGCTTAACTTGCAGGCAACTGAGTTTAGGTGGGAGAGATGCAGCCTGAGATCCTGTGTTCTTTCTCTCTGGTCGTAATTTGAGGCTGGCAGGTCGACTTTTCGGAGTACACGTGTGTTCTGTGTCAGAGGCTTTGGAAAGTATTCCATGGTGACAAAACATAGTCCAAGCTATTTAACAAGATCCTGTTAAAATGAATGCAGCAAAAAGATTATTCTTATTTCCTGGTCTCAAATTGAGGAAATATCTTGCGTTTTGTGCTAACCACCTTGCTTTGCCTATTTTTCTTACAGATCTATTTTGTAATACTGTTTACTGTATGTGCCAAACATTTTAAATTCTTTGCATGCAGTTTGTGTGGTGTGCAGTGGATAAATGACCTTTAGATGTTGCTGTGCAGTTTAAATGTATTTGACCTATATGTTGAATATATGTGCCTATACAGGTGTTTGCTCTAAGTGTATCCAATGTACGCTTCTCTTCCATGCATGCTGTTTTGAGGAAGATGCTCTAGAACAAATTCTCATGTAAATGTGCAGAAAATATGTTATCCATCCACACAAGGCACCTGCTTCCTCGGGAAGAGGACCATGTTCAGCTCTAAGGGTCGCTTCCTAACTCTGCTTTCCTGTTTAACTTATTTTCTGGTTTGCCTCCTCACTCTCCTGGTCTGAACAATCCCCGACTTATTCCTGATACCACAGCAGGTGCTCTGAGAACTGCTGTTTCCAGCAGGTAAAGAATGACCCCGTGTCTTTTTACTACAGCCCCAAGAATACATGTCCGTCTTCTCCCCAGCCTATCCCCCTCTTACACCGGTGACTGCTGCTGCCAGGTTTTCCTGCTGTGTAGAAACGTCTTTCCTTCCTGAACACAGGAAGACTATAAAGTGTCTACTGGTAGCATCTTTTAAGATCTGTCCCTTCTGTAAGATTTCAAGTGGAATCTTAGTTCATCTGAACTAGAAGATGCTGTAAACGAATTATTAGATGGTTACCTTGAGTCCTGGTTCTTTGAGATAGTCCATGTTGTTCGTCCTTGCTGCCAGCCAGGGTTTCAGATTGATGCAGTCGGGGAATTACCTGTTCATGCAGAGCATGGGAGAAACCAGTGCCTCTTGCTGGTATAACTCATCATTTTGGTGCATTGCTGGTTGTGACCCAGAAATCAGCGTTGTGGGAAACTTTTCCTTACTGTACCATGATTGAGGAGAGGTGACATATTTTAAGTTACCATCGTAGATCTAGTCACTTTTAACCAAATAATGTACTTGCTCGTTTTATGGCAATGCCGACCGTATTTCCCCTGGGTGAAGCGAAGCTGTAAGCCGTGAGGGCCGGCGGAGGGAGAGCTGCGGCCCCGCCGCCGCGGGGGTGGGCGGGGCTCTTCGGCTCCGCTGTAAGCCGTGAGGGCCGGCGGAGGGGGGGATGTGGCCCCGCCGCCGCGGGGGTGGGCGGGGCTCTTCGGCTCCTGCCTGGTCTATTGCTGCCGCCTTGTGGCAGCCGTGCGGTGGGACAGCGGGTACCCGGCCCAGCAAAGCCCGCCTTTCCACCCAGGACTCTATTTAGATCATATATTGGCAACTAAAACTGTTAATGTCAATTACTCTGTAAATTGTATCTATTTTTTTTTTTTTTAGCGGTGCCTTTGAGCTGGATTGATGCTAGCTGGAGTTTCTCCAGCGATCTTGTTTGGCAAATTCTGCACTGAAGTGAACTGCCTGAGTTTTTGCTTGTCTGGGCTTGAGAAATACAACATGCGTGCCCTTTGATGGGATTGCTGTGGGATTTAGTATTCTGGGTATAGCCTGGATGCTATACCGAGGAGAATCTTTTAAAGGACTGGCTGTCATTGCCTTATTTTGAAGGCCAGCAGTCACTGTTAAATACTTGAAAACGAACAACCCATACTGAGACCAGGGAACCCACAGGAATCCAGCCAGGCTGATTAACAGCCATTTCTATCCCCTGGAGCTGCTTGTGTACATTTTACTCTTAAGTGAAACTGTAGAGCCTGGGACGAGAAGTGGAACAATGCAATGTGGAAGAGACGTGAGGAAGTTGATTAAAGTATTTCTTGATGCAGAGTGCAAATAGACCCCCCCTGTCGTGAAATGTTTTAAAACTTTATGCAGGGATGGAGTCTTTTTGTTTTCAAATTATCAAGAGATTTGGCGTAAGTCTTATGAGATCTTCATGGTTCTTTCTGCCTGGAAACATTACAATATTTTCCTGCACAAGGCATAGAAAATAATGATGAAATGTAAGATACCAGTTTGTATAATAACAGCTGGTAGATACTGACTGAGCAGTGGCCTTGCTGAACATGAGCAGAGTATACTCTGATTGGGTTTTTCTGAGCTCAAATTATCAGTGTCCTGCAAAAACATTCATGAGATTGGGTATGTGGCTGAGCTCCAAACCTGGCCTAGTCTGATGTCTCAGCTCAGAAAAACTTTTATTAGATTTGCCTTCTGTCTCAAGAGATACATGCTTGCTCTTATGTGGGAGATATGAGGAAATCTGACATAGATTTTGTGAATATCAACCACTTTCATAAGATAAACTTCTTCCCTTTTCTCCTTTCTGTATTGGTGGTTTATTCTCTTGTTACAAATGAAGCACTGAAGAAATATGCAGAATGCAAACATAATGCAGAAAATATATCCGGCCTTATGAACCTGTAGCATAATGGGCTCCTAACTATAAAACCTGTGTGTGTGTCTGTGGTGATTTCTGTTGGAAGGCATCTCTTTCAGATTGACCTTTTGACATGTAAAATGCCATTTTAGCCTGGCCTTGTACAGGCTGCTTTTTTATTAACTTTAAACTTATAGGTCTTATTTTTCTCTTTTCTAGATAGAGGAGCGAGCAGAATTTTTGAACAAATCCGCTCAGAAGAGGTAAAGCAATAAAACAGTGGGTTCAGTCAAAACAGCAGTGTTTAACTGGAGGGAATAATAATTTCTTTCTCTCTTTTTTCTACTTCCTACAGTGGTATGAAACCCACCCACACGACAGCAGTTGTCTCAAAGATTGACAGTAGACTTGAGCAATACACCAGTGCAATTGAGGTAAGCTAATTCCAGGTCATGATCGCTCTAGTTACTAATGGCTTTTGGAACTTTAATCAGTCTAAGTATACTGTTCAAGAATTGCAGGGATTTTTGGTCACAAACTCTTTTTGAATGCTACTTCAAGAATAAAATGCTCGAGGCACACCTATAACCAACATCTAGGTATATATCTAAAAGATCCTCAGATTCGTGTCTTCCCTTTCATGCTACAATTTACTCTGCTTTGTAAGCTTGGAGTAGCTCTTGAAGGACTCAGTCAGCATTTCTTGGGTGACAGTCGCATCCTCCTCTTGGCTGATGAGAGTACTATCAGCAGAGAGCTGAGAGTCACCCTGAGCAAAGCTGACTTAGCAGCTTATTTAGGAGAGCAAGGAACTGGGCCTGTGTTGCTGGCTGCCGCTTCAGAGTGAAATTCCTTGGCAAAGACAGACACTTCAGTGAACTAGGCAGTTAAGTAATGACAAAGGAAAAACAGAATCAAAATAAAATGCAGAATTTGACCCCAGGTGATTTTGACAAGTAGTGGTTAATAATGTGCCTTGAAGCCAGAATTGAGGGCTTTTTCTTTTCATAGTCCAAGGTAAAATAGGTGTTTGGGTTTTTTGTTTAGTTTGGGGTTTTTTTTAGCTGTTTTTATAAATCAGTGAATACAGGCAATGTGAAAGCTACTGGCTAATATAACAGGCCAACTAGACTGGGTTAGTAAGTGTCACGGGAATAGAATAGTATAAAATGGGATATTATCTTGATAGCTATGATTAAGATCTAACACTTCTTCATTCCCTGCTGAATTTTTTTGCTCCTCTTGTTCACATATAGAGTCTAAGCATGTTATTCCATTAAGGTATTAATTGGTTAGGCTTTATTTTCCTTTAACTTGAAGGAAACTTTAGTAATTAAGGATCAATTAACAAAGGCTTTTTTTCTGTGACTGCTGTCCATTTAACCTTTCTGCTAGGAAGCCTATCAGTGCTGGAGAGTTTTATATTGTGTGTCAGTTCCTGACGAAAAAAGCACATGCATGACAGTGCTGAAAGCTCAGGCTTGCCTCCAGCACCCATGTCAAGCTGAAGGTAGCTCAAACCCCTCCATTAGAAATGAATGTCAGCATGGCACGCAGTAGTCCCCATGTCATCGAAGTAGGAGCTTACAGCTTCTGTGTTCGCACTTCACCATGCACCTTTTCTGGAGAAGACATAACCACCCTAGAGTGACCAAGGGCTTTAGTTTGGCTCTGGGGTTTGATGTTAAACTCCTTAAAGTGAGTGAATGGGTTGGAGCTACAGCTCTGTCTGTCATTAAGAAATTTATGTAATAGTGAAGTCAGGGTTTGTCAACCCATAAACACCGGACCAGCCCACCCACCAGCTTATATTAGATTCTCCAGTATTTTCAGTAGGGCTGTGCTAAGGTCCTGAGTCTTTATGCTCCATTTAGATATTAAAAAGCAGAGCTCTACAGCAAGGGGCAGGCAGTGCAGCTTCGCAGCTGAAATGATTCCTTTGCTGAGTTTCTGATTTTTCCAAAAGTTGTCAAATCTGACTTACTTTGCAACTAGAGAAGCAAAGCCTCAGCTCATACAGGTTCTTTTTCTTCTCAAATCTGTGTTATGTAACATGTACAAGAATTTTGAAAAGAAGGAACAGGAGGAGTTGGGTCCAGTGTTTTTGGTAACCATGCAAAAGACACACTGCCAAAAAACCCTCAGTCCTCCACTCTTTAAAACACCACCTCATTCCCAATATACCATAATTGCTGCAATTTACCCCTAGAATCCCGAGTTGTGAGGTTAAGTTGTCTGGGACAGATGGAGCAGAATCTGATGCTGAATGGCAGAGCAGCCTTTCTCCCCTGCCTCTGCATAAGGATTTCCTTAGCTGTGTCCCTGAGAGAGCCATGCTTACAGGATGCAGGTGCTGAGACTTGAAAGAGGACAAATGAAAGCCTTGGAACAGTTGTGTGCAGAGCTGTGGTTTGCCATGAGCTTTACAAATGTAACAAATGCAAAAATCTAAGTGACTTTGGTTTTCATAGCCAGTTGTGTCAACGGTGCAACTGCAAATCAAAAGGGCGAGAGTCTCGGTGGCATCTCTTGAGCTGGGTACTCCTTTCTGTCTTTGCATGATCATCACTAGAACCCCTTACAGCTGCTGCATTCCCCAGCACTGCCCCAGAGTCAAACCACCCTGCAACTGCAGCTCTTAATGGCAAACACGAACTGGCCTCAATTTTTCTGCAGGGCACAAAGGCTGCAAGACCAGCTAAGCCAGCAGCCTCTGACCTTCCTGTTCCAGCCGAGGGTGTCCGTAATATCAAGAGCATGTGGGAGAAAGGGAATGTTTTTTCATCACCCTCTGGGACAGGAACACCAAATAAGGTATGTGTTTAATTTTACACAGTGATTATAAAGAATTATGTTATGGACCTGACCTTGCCATTCATGTTCCCATGAGTACGCCTGGCTGCTCCTGTTGACATCACCGGTGAAGAATATCCCAAAGGATCCTGAGGTCCTTAGAAACCCACAAAATTGTGTGGCTGCAATATTGAGTAAAACGGAAGAATTTAGTGACATACTGAGCTAAGTTATGAGACATTCCAGAACCACATCAGATATCTTAGACAAATATATCTGGGTAGTTCAAGCGGAGTACAAAGAAATTCTTTGTGTTGGGAAAGATTCTTTTGGGAGGCAGAGGAGGGTTAAATAGGCAAGATAATGATGATGTTTTATAGATAATGCATAGAAGCATTTCTGAGACCTTTATCTTTTCTATGTAAATCCTTAAGGCAACATTTCCTTTCTATAAATTGATGTGAGCTGATGAGCATTCATCATAGCCAAAAAAATGAGCCATGGATTGAAGGGTTTTATTACAGATAGCCATGAAATTTCTGTAATTTGTTCTAACTTTTTAAAGATTTATTTTAATGATTTAAATTTTAGTCTACTTAAATTCTCTATTATATGCTTTTTTGAAAAAAAATTAGTTTAACAAAACAAAAATGGAGACTTAGACTGGTGTCTCTTCTTTTAGACTAAAGATTTTTTCTCCTTGGAGTTTGGGGTTATGGCAGAAACAGCAGGTGTATGTCTAACATTTACTCCTGGGTTAGCACTAAAGTAGAAATGATTTTGTCAGCCCATGTTTACCATTACTGAAAATTAGAGGGTAGTAGTACCGTGTAGTTCATAGGGACAATATCGTCAGAGCACACAGGATGACTCTTAGCTAGCCATAGTCTCAGTGAGGACATCTATATTAAACTCAGGCTTGGCTTTGTTTTTAAATCTAAACCATGGGAAACATAGCAAAAGCTATTCTGAAAGTCTTCTGATTAGATTTTATTATTTTGCAGGAAACGGCTGGACTGAAGGTTGGTGTCTCCAGTCGTATCAACGAGTGGTTAACCAAGACCCCAGAGAGCAACAAATCACCTGCTCCAAAACCTTCTGTAAGTAAACTTGCAACAACCATCTCTTCAGTAGGTGGGTTCTCTCCTGGGGCAGAGGTGGTGACCGTGCTTCCTTAACCAGCTGATGGTCTTTGGAGGAACCTTGCTGCATGTCCTCACTTGGAAGCTCACAGAGGCCTTCTGGCTGCTGACTCCTGGGGGGTCACAAAAAGGCAGGGATGAAACAAGGCAGTTCTCACCTTAAAGCGTAGGGGTGCTCTAAAAAGACAGTGCTCAGAGAAGCACTTCTCTGGTAGAGAAGGACATTAATTTACCACGGGTGAAAAGCCTACCATTAATTTAGAAATTACCAGCCATAGACCTTAGATGAAGCACTTGTGCTTTGGCCCTTACTCTGTAAAAATCTTCCAAGTATATTTTTAAACACAACTGAAATACTTTAATTCTTTAAGAGCTTAAATGTCATTTCTAATGAAGGCTTTTTAGCATGCCCATTACTTCAGCAAGAATCAGAGAAGAAAATGCTATCAAAGTATTAATCTGGGAGTGTGAGAAGCAGCAGTGTGGATGTGGGAAGAAGCAGAAACAGGTAATTGTGGGGTGGGGAAGGGTAAGGATGAGGAACTGGAGCTGTAGGTGTCCATACTAGAGAATGGCAGGACATCACTTATGGTGATAATAATTCAACTTTGGGATTTTATTAAAGAACTGGTTTCTTCCCATATCCTTGTGTAGCGTTTTTTCTGCCAGTCCGCTTGCCTTTTATAAAAGGTGCAGCCTGACAAATGCTTTCTCAATTCACACTCCTATTTGTCCCAAAGAGGAGTTTGAAATTTGCAGTGTTGTCCCTTATGTTAGTATTTACTGGTAGCTACATGCAGATTGTGTCCTTATGGACATGAATACAAAAACAGAAGAAGTCATTGTGGTCACTGTATTTAATCACAACCACTGAAAACCAGCACAATTTTTCCTCTCTTTCTTTTAAGTTGTATGTTTTAGATAATGTAAAACTAACCTCTTGTTTTCCCCTCAGCCAACTGTTTCTATCTGTCTTCATTTCCTTCTTTCTCAATAGATTGTTCTTTCTTCTTTCAATATCTCTGCTTGAAGGAACCTGCCCTCCTCCTATTCTTCTTCTTTGGGGGTCTGTTTGCTAATGTGGTCAGGTAAACCTGTTTATAATTGACTATGAAGAATGATATAAATCTGTAATGTGTGATTTTTACTTTTTTCACCAGGATAAATCAGAGAGAAACCTCAAATTTCTTAGTTGGCAAACAACTTCCTACCCCCATCACATTCCACCAAAACAAAGAACTGTTCGAAGCTTTTGTGACCATAAAGATTCTTGTGGTTTTTGGAACAACATTCAATTAAAAGTAGAGGGAGCAAAGATCTCAATTAGTTTAATGGTGAACCTAAAATCACAGATCCCAAATTTCAGGTTTATGGAAGTGGTTTTGTGATAATGTCTACTGCAAGTAGTTTTGTGATAAGGTCCACTACAATTTTGCTGTTTTCTTTCTTCCTCTGTTACTGCTGAACTCGCTTTTTGAAGTACAGAATTGGCTTAAAGTCTTAACCATCAGCAACCTTCTTTGGCTGTAAAGGATGATCAATTCTAGAGCATCTCTGTTGGATGCATATACCTCTTGCAGAAAACACATTTCCATTCATTACTGGGCATTTTTCTATCCCCAGTTAGAAACTCATGTGTAGAAAACTACCTCACTATGGATGGCAAGATCAAGATTCTGGAAACTGTGCAGGACTTGAACACTTTTTGAAAAGGAGAGTACTTACGTCCAAAATTGTTTCAAGAGTCTTTTGTTTGCCAACCACAGAGGCAGATACCCGTCCATCTGTCCTTAAGCAGGTGCATTGCTACTAGCCTAGCATATGTCATCTTGATTTGTGGCCCTGCTTTTCCCCAAGAAACGGCTTGACATTTTGACTGAGTTTTGCTTCAAGTCTCCATATACATTCATCTTCAGAGAATATTATTATTTTTTAATGACTTTACCTCACCTGTTTTTTTCTGTCAGGCTAGTGATTGGTACATATTAAGGTTTTAAAGGATGTAATGGAAATTCAAATGGATATGAAATGTTAAATCCTGAAGCCTATATTTAAGGATGCAGTTGAGGATCTGCTTTTCTGTTGCAGTAGAAGTCCTACTCTATTTTTTTTACATTTTTTAATGAAATATTTTGATCCTGATCCGAAATAACTGAGACAAGCTACTTTTGAATTCCTCCCTAATAGAAATACTGTTTCTGAAAAAATCTTTTTTTTCTCCAAAAATTGGAATTCTCTTTCTTAAAAACCCAATGGTGCAGTAACTTTTCACAGTCCTCCCTAGGATGAATGTAATAAGTTATGGCCAGTCTGTGAAATAATAAATAGATGCAGCAGGATTGTTTTTTGTTGTAAAGCATATATATGTGTGGAGTGATTATGTGAGGTGTCATTCTGAATAGCTTTATAATTGATAGGCAATGTAATATTTACTACTGGTGGATGCTCCTCAACTTCCCTTACGAGGAAGTAATGTTCTAACTTTTTCTCTCCCAAATTAAAATAAACCTGAACTAATATTGGTTTCTGTTCTCTGACATTAATTTAAAAATACAGGATTTAAAACCAGGAGATGTATCCGGCAAACGTAATCTCTGGGAGAAGCAGTCAGTTGAAAAGTCATCTTCTTCTAAGGTAACAGTTCAGTGCGTTGTTAAAAGGGTAATACCTCTGTGGGAGCCTTTCTAGGAGGAAGGTGCTGTTTGCCTTCATATGGTCAGTTAGTTGGAACTAGGCCTCTACGTGTTTTTTGTTACTAACCTGCCTTTTTATCTATAAAAGAAAGTACAATGAGGCACAGAAAGCCATGGGCAGCGTGTAACTTTTATATTCCTATTTGGCAGAGCTGTGTTGTGCATGGAAATCTGTCCTTTGCATGGAGTTGATTTTTTTTCCTGTTATAAATAGCTCTATTTTCCCATATTTGACTTAATAATGGGTTATTACTTCTTCAAACAGGTATCAGCTATCGGGAAAAAATCAGAGACTAATGGTAAGTAATTCTAATAATACACCTGCATATTAAATAGAAACTTTGCCACATTTTTCTACAGGCACGTCTGATTTTTAAAATTCCACGGCTGTTAATGTTGATGCAAAAAACCCCACCTTTTTGCCTTTACCTTTCAAAAGCTCCCTTGCAATATCATCAAAACATGAATGTTTGAGAAGTAAGCCCAAATCATCTTTCTAGGAGGACTAGCAGTGCTCCAGCCATGTTTGCAAAGCCTTGTTTGAGTGACATGCGTAGCATGTTTGCTGTAGCTGGAGAGCATCATTCAACTGTGTGAGGTCTGAGGAATGGGATGGTCATTTAACTAATTACAGCAAATGCAAGGCAGCTGGGAAAGGCTCTTTTAAAGGCTGCAGCAGGAATCATGAGTGAAGAGGGGAAACCCCAAAAGTGAGGCTGTTGCAGCAGCATTATTTGAGCAGAATAATTTCAGTACTATGGAGAAGGAGCCCTGCATCTGATTTTAAACATTGCTGCTGGGTAACGGTGAAGCCTGATGAAAATTCAGCAGTGTTGATTTTTAAAAATAATTCCTCTGGCTCATTGTGAGTTTCATGTGCTCCTGCATACCCAGACTGGAATGGAGTTCAAACACACTCAACAAACTCTGCTTTTGCTGGAGCTGTGCAGTGGTGTCTTCTCAAGGCAAAAAGAGTCCTAGTACTGTCATTTTGAAACTACTAGTTTGGGAAACACAACCTAGTTGTACGGAAAGAAATCAGCAAAGTTTCCCTCCTAGCTTTGTGCACTTTTTAAATTTTTATTTTAATCTAAAACACTCCAAATAAAACCAGTTAAAATAAATATGTGCCTAAGGACCAGAACAGAAATTTGCTGATCAGTTTAATAGCTTTAAGACGTCTTGCAACATCCTTTGACTCTTCACTAGCAATGAAATGATCAAACATAGAAAAACTTTTGGTTTTTTACCAATTAATATGTGCACACATTTTTCTTCACTTTTGTATGTGAAGCCAGAGCTACGGTATGCCTGTGAACTTTTCTTATCAGTTTAGAGTCATGCAAAATGGAATTGTCTTCCTCCTGCTCTTAAGGTTTTTCAAACCGAGCTGTTCGGAGAGGGGTTTTCAGGCTTGCTCAGCACTAGCACCGCTCTGCTCCCACAGCAGGTGTTAGCGGTCGCGCATCATTGCCTATGGCAGCAGACCCCGCTGAGTGGTTCAGCCACTGCCAAGCCTCTCCTCTAAGGCTGAGTGAGATGAGGGCTTCAGCAGAGGGGTTGCAGGAGGGGGCTCTCAGCAGCCAGCTTTCAGTCTTGCCGTGGACTTGAAGTGCGCACACCAAGCACTGCAGCACAGCCTGCTTCAGCGTGGCAGCCACCCCAGCGTGGCTGGGGAGAGCGCTGGGTGCGGCACCCCCTGCAATTCCGGGTGGGAAGCTCCTGAGCTCTCCCTGAGCTGCTTCCCCAGGGTGTCAGAGGCGAGAGGTGAAATCCTGCTTGTCCTCTTGGAGACCACCTCTGAGCAATCCCAGTACACGAGCACAGCAGCATCCAGGTTGTGTCCTGTCTTCTTACATGCTGTGCGTTAATCTAGAGCCATGCCTTCTCTATTTTAGAGATACTTTTGGGTTATTTCAAGCCATCTTTAATCTTTCTCTTTCTCAGCAGGTTTGAGACAATTTGAGAAAGAACCGTAGAAGGCCACGAAAGATGCTGGACCAATCAGTTGGGGGGAAAAAAAGAAAAAAAAGGAAAAAGTGCTAAATTGTTCTTTTTATATTTATGTTTATTTACCAAAATGTCTTTTTGCATTATCCCAGTTAAAACCATGTATATTAGCACTGTATTTAATAATCAGTCTAGACATTCATCATAATAGTACTGCCTTTGCACAAGAGCCTTTATTCCTAAAGAAACCCATGCTGTGAAATATAGACTCTCCTACTGATAGTCATAACTAACTATGTATCTGAACAGTGATTTCAACTGGCGTAAGAGGTCAACCCAAAATGCATGTAAAGTGAAGTTGCTTAAGAAAGGTGTGCAGTAAACCTATAAAAACAATGGTTACTTTTGTAATACAGAAGTCTTTCTTTCTGCACTTTAGACTAAGGCATGGAAGAAATATCTTTAGTTGACAATGTAATATTTTCTGTAAGTTGCCCATGTCATGAGAAATACTGCATCAATAACGTGTTTTAATATTTTTGTTTTATACTTTAAGTATCAATTTCTCCATTCTAGTTTAAGTTAATACCTAAATTTGGATTATTATGTTAGCTGACAGCGGTACTGATATTTCTTTTTGTTGTTAGTGACTAGTAATTGAATGCAATTTAGAATATATACACACATAGCTTTACAAAGTTTAGCCTAAAGGCACTACTAATGGTAGAATGCTTTAATACGTGCTAGAGTATTATATTCAGTAATAAACATACATAATTAGCCAATATCACAGCTTAAAAAAATAAAGACAAAATCACACACTTTTCTGTAGTAAGATTTCATAATTGCCATTAGAGGTATGGTGAGATAAGTATTAAAAAATTTTAAATGTCAGTTGCCCAGTAATGGGTAATTAAAAAGAAAGTATAGTTTTTAAAAGAGGAAAAGGTAAGGGTATAGAGGGTTAAAAATAGGTCACTTGTATAAAACGTTGTAGTTTAATTTATATAAAACTACCATAATTAAAAAGAAAAAAAAACCTAAACAGAGTTGGAGCTTGTTTCAAATGACTGTACACTAAATCTTGCCATTCATCAGTGCCATACACTTAAGTCCACCTAAAATGAAGTAAACCTCTATCTTTATAGTGCTTCTTTTTAACTCTCTCTCCCGAATATCTTATTTACAGATGTTTTCATTTGTATATAGTAAACATATGGCTATAAGACGTCAGCTTGGTTTGAATTTACATGCCATACAGTTTAGCATTTACATCCTACAGTGTATGGGTGGCATAAACTGAGCAACCGAAGTAGCCCCTGAGCATGTTGTTAACAGCTTTGTTGTGCGTTGGAACTACCAGGATCTCCCTTTTCACCACGTCCATCTCTTACAGCATCTGACTTCTTCCTAAAGAGTAATGTTATATTTCAACCCAAAGATGAGCTCCCCTGCTTGGCTGAAACATCTTGTTTACATATAGAGGTGCATGTAGTTATCTGTAGGGGGTGAAACTGTGCCTGACATTGTCTCTGAGTTGTCTTGTTTTTTGTTTGGGGGTTTTGTAAACACTCCTTTGAGTCTTTCAAATACATCCGATAGCTGCAATAAAAATGATTTGTTCAAACAATGTATTCTGAAACTGCATCCACAATAAATGGAATATTTCCATCAGCAGCCCTGTGTTTGTTAATGAGTAGGAATGACCCAGTTGTTGCAACTGGGATAGGAATCGTGCTAAGGCTGTGTAAAATAAGGTATCATTGTAAAGAACCTCAAAGGATGTCTCTCCTGATGTACTATCCTACACCAGACAGCCAAGTCATAAAATCAGCAGCTTTCACCTACATATTCTTAAGGGAAAAAAAAAAATCTTAATTGTCATGCCTATCAGTACAAGATGGGAGCTGTGCATCATCCAGAAGTCAGCATGCTCAATGAGGTGCTCAACCTACCTCGTTGAGCATGCTGTGACCTAGTGGCACAGCTGTCTGCTTGCCTGCTTTGAAAAATATTTTCTGTGTGAGAGCTGTCATATTTCTTCTGTCTACCTCGGTGGGATGTACTTCCAGGCTTGGATGATCATGGGGACCAAGCCTGGGGAGCTGCTGGCTTTCCCGTTGTCCTGTCCCCTTCGTTTTTTCTCTAGTGGCAGCACAGCATGTAATGCCCTGCTCTAACCAGGTCGTGGTCATCCAAAAGAGGCCCCCCAGGCTGCTGCCAGCTCCCCGGGAAGCACTGGGAAGGCTGCAGCAAGCACAGCTTTCTGAACTACGGGGGGAGAAATAATCGGATGCTGCCTCATTTAACCTGAAAAGAGCTTGCACGCTTGCAAGCATGCCTGTTCTCCTGCCTTGTACTGACCAACTACATTGCTACATTTCTCTGCAGTCTTTGCTGAAGTGACGCTTTTCCTTGTTGATGTAGGTAAGTTTCTTTTGCTCCCGGTTATTGCCTTTTCTGAGAGCGTGGAAGCATGCTGGGCACAATCGGTTTTACCTTTAGGAAATACCATAAAGTGGTGTGGTCGTGGTTTGTTCCCACCAGCTGGCACCACCTCCTGGCAGAATTCGCCAAAGACAAATCCCGGTGGCTGAGTCAGCAGCACTGCAAGTTTTTTTGGTGTTTTGATACCATTATGAGGTGATGATTTTTCAGATGATACCAGATTGTCACCTTAGCTTCTCATCATGCTTTCCTGCAGCTCACTCGGCATCCTAGCTAGACTTTCTCTTGTCAGTGTGCAGAATGCCACAAAACAGCCTTTTTTAAGCCTGCCTTTGCTTTGGCCTAGCGTTATCTCTCTGAAAATACTTTAAAGCAACTGTGAGTCTAGCTCAGGGTTAGCTTTGTGTTTATAAAGAAAAGTTTTTCTATGTTTTCCTTAGATAAAGCCAACCCTTGTCTGGATACATTGTTCTGAATGCTGCCAGCAGAGGTGCAAAAAAAATCTAATTTTGTGTATGAGACTTCCAGAGCAACTCATTCTGATTTTGTAAGTAGCCCTTATGTTTGGCTGGGTGTATTTTGATGTGTGTTATCAAAACATATGATAACATACGATGCTGTCCTCAATGATGTGTGTCAAAACATATGCTGCATATGATGCTGTCTTCAACTTTTCACCTCTCATCACAGAAGAGTTCAATTTCTCACTGTCCAGAGGGCAGGCTACATGGAATAATAGGTACAACTTTCTTCTTTAGGTTCTAGCTAGAGCATGATCCTGTCTGATGCATAAGTCAAAGTAGTTTTTATGTATTGTCCTTGTACAAGAATTATAAAAGCTCATTTCTATCTGTATTAAAATTAAAAAAAACCCCAGACTTCAGGCATGTTTTATAACTAATTGTATGAAACAATTTAAGCACTACAGTGATTTTGTTATTCAAACTTTATTCATATAAAATATTAAAGCATTACAGATTCACACTATAAAAATCACAACTATGTAAAAAGCAAAGTAATTAAAGACAGCATTCCTTGACAGCAACTTGTGAGCCAGTATGACTGACCACACTGGAAATAACATATAAAAAAAATCTTGTAACCCACCCAAGTGTTTTGTTAAACATGTCTTTAATTAAGGAAGACAAGGAAAAAAGGAAATGAAGAGACATTGTCTTTTTACTACTAATCAAAAACAGATTTCTGTTAACCATCATAACAAAAGACCCATCCTTATTGATGCATTTTTATACCAGCTAGTGGTCTACCTCCTAAAAAAGAAGGACAAGTAACTGCTTTTAATGATTGTCAAGTTACAGAAGAACTCATCAAGTCTAGGCTACAGCATACATCTTCTAATCTGGAAGGAGTTACATGGAGGTCTCACAGAAACCACTGGCATTAATATTCTGCTTTGAATGGGTAGTCCTTGTGATTGACAGCTCTGAGAAGAGAAAGAACTGGTTATTTAAGTATTGTAGAAAGTATCTTCAGCGGCATTTCCCTACTGCAGTCTCCCTTCCCCACTGCCAACGTTCTCGTTTTGCTGCTGCCATAAATTGGAACAAGCACATGCAACACCAAGATGCTGAAGGGAATGCCCTGAAAGAATCTCCCTCCTGACATCAGTTCCAGGACATGTCTCATTACCTGGTGACCAGGGTTTAAGATAGGAGCACTCCCTGGTTTTGGTCATGTATGTTTTCAAGATATGGGGGATGAAAATACAGATAGAGATAGGCCTAGTGGATAATAAGGATCATAAGAAACATACTGGAGCACTGGAACTGCCCTCCAGTTCCTGTTGAAGCTGAGGATGACATCCATCTCCTTTTCAGACAGTTCAAAGTCAAACACCTAGCAGGGAAGGAGAAAAAAAAAAAAAAGCAAGCCATTTTTACCTCAGTTCACGAGTAGTTAGCTACTAAGTGTGCTTCATGCATTTATGACTTGAGGTAGGAACATACTGCAGCCACGCTAAGCATAGTTAAGAAATCCTCTTATTTGTCAGCCAAATACCAACTTACCCTTGAAGTAATCAAGATAGCCCTTTTCTCTCTGAGGTGCTGTTCATAGCAATGTCTTATAGTTCTGAGTGGTTGAATGCAAACACCACTGCAGTTTGTGTTGTAATGCACAGACGGACAGAAAACTTAAGGTGCTAAGGATGGATTACTTGATGCATCACAAATACTGGAACTAGCAATAAACATTTCTGCTACAACAGAGGACTACTGGGTACCAACTGTCTCACAGTTAATTGATCATCTAAGAGTTCTTGCTGGTGGTTCACAGAAGTAACTCCAAAATGCAGCAGCATGAACTGAAAGTAACACAGAGATATTATTTAAGATGCCAGGCCTTATGAGCAAACATCCAGCTGAACCTCCCTGCCAAGGGGAACCACAGCCTCAAAGTGAGACATAAACCATAACGGGTCTGGTGTTTACAATTTGTTCCTTTACACTGTAAAGAGGGGCTCATTAAACACCTCCCAGAGGGCAAGTCCAGAGCTGGGATTCCCCTTCCAGGGCAGCAGAGCTCAGACCACCCTGGTGTAACCCATTTTCTCTGGGGAAAAGCATTTTGTTCCTGCCGGGAGAGAAAAGTGCGGATGGTTAGGTAGGGCTGAGCTCCAGTCTTTGCATCTCTGCGCTCCCATTCCGATGTCTTTTAGGTGCTGCTTGGAAACACGGGGGTGATATGGGTGTGGGTGCCTATCCTGTGCAAAAAGGCAGCAGCAATCCCAATGGAAACTTCACCTGGATGTTTTCCTCAACACGCTGTGGTTTGTCAGACTTGGGAATCACAATCACGTCTCTTTGGATAAGAAACCGGATCAGAACCTAGGAAAGGGCAAGGAGGAGCATGAACGCAGGGGTACCAAGAAATCTGTTCAAATGCATTTTGTGTTCTCTCTTACCTTTTTTTTTTTCATGCACAAACTAATTTATCTTTCTACAACCATGTTCACTCTTTGGAAGATTCTAACAGTTTGCATACAGAAGTTTGATGTGCCAGTATTTGCTTGCAGTCTACTAACAAACTGTAATTGTTTCTGGCCTATGTTGTTTCTACATCCTGGCTTCTCCAGGATTTGTTTTGTTTTCATTTAGGGTAGGAGAGGGGGAGAAAAAGGATGATGCTTCTGGCTTGCGTTATATCAGTGCTCAGACCAAATAAGCATAATGATACTGCAGATTATTTTGGGCTCACAGGTAAGTACCTCACCTAGGTTAAGCTTTTTGAAGTCCTTAAAAGGAAAAACATATTTATAGATTTCAAAAGTTTCCCCCACTCAAAAGAGGACTATTGCATACAATTTTTTGTCCTGCTCTGGCTGTCTTAGAATATGACTATGGTTGATTGCCTGTGAACATGTGGATTTGTTTGAAGTGCAGTTTCTGCACACCCTGTGCAAGAACTCATTTGCATGACTAGCCACTAATAGAGAAAAAAATTTCATCTTGAATAATCAAGCAGCTTTCAATGATTCTTTGTGAACACGAGCCAACAGGGAGCAATCAAACAGGTGTGCAAATTACAGGGCTTCTCTGAAGAATAACTTGCTAACTTAGCTGGAGAAAGGAATAACAAGTTGGCTTGATGATTTGTAACTAAACCTCAGAGGAAAGGGTCTTCTCAGGGAGCAAGCACTTCTCTCTGGGAGCAGAAGAAATCTCCCTAGGAAGGGGGGCACCCGAGGTAAGTATGTACTGCTGCTGATCAGCCTCCCCAAAGCTCAGCACTCACGATCTCTTAGAAAATATCTCATAATTCGTATGAATGCTGGTAAGAACTAGGGCAGTATGAAGAGTCAAGTGTAGTTCAAGCCTATTATACTGTACCTTTAGAGAAGGCAGCATCTGCTAAAGCTGGCCATCAGCTTGTAAAATTGTCTGAGGAGGAGGAATAGTTTGCCCTGACAAGCCCACTTACCTGGGCAGGGGTTTTATGATGTCTAACTGCAATCTCTTTAATCTTGGGATCATCCAGCAGCACAGGTTCTCCTGGCTTGGCCCTATTAAAAACAGAAGCCAGGATATGGATGGTAGAAAGGTATTAGCTTCCCTGCAGGAAGCCTGACATTTTGTGTCAAATAATCTGTAACAAAGCAACGGCACTTTTCTCATTATACCTGCAATATTTACATCATTTGCCTCAAAGATTCAAGTTGCAAATGCATTGTTTTGTATCCAGAGAGGCTGCAACGCTCTCTTACCATGGGCGGTTAGGAGAGCCAAGAGGGCTGTACGCAGTCACAGCAATCCCTTTGGATTGACAGTACTTGATCAACTTTTCCTGGGTTAGGTATGGATGACATTCAATCTGCAAGCACAGTTAACACGGTGGTTGACACAGAGGAAGACTGCACTGAGCTTCAGAGAATAACTAACATTTTAATTCCTCTTGGCTCACAGAAGATGTGAAGAAAAGACTTCCAATATCGTGATTAAAATCTGTCTTATAAAAAAGTTATTCATGTCACAGCAATATCTAGAGGTCTGGCACAGAGAACAGGGCTTCCTCATGCTACATATTACACAAAGATAGTGAGAAATAGATGGGAAGAGTGAAAGTGTTATCTGTATCAGAAATGGGGGAAATCAGTCTTCCTGGACTACTGGAGAGCAGGATTGCATCTTCAGAGGGGCAGCTCAGAATACCTGAAGTTTAGTTTCTGCTCTGAGTCACCCAGCCTCTCCCCAAGGAGTCTCCCTGACTCCTGAAGAAGCCTGGGGAGATGAGCTTCCCCAGGTTAGCTCAGATCATGTTGCGACCAGCCATTCAGGCAAGATGTCCTTTAACTGGAAGCAACAGGAACCTACACGGGGATGCTGCCCAACTTTCCACAAGCCATAGGATGACCACAGGGCTATGTCTACCCTGCGTAACGTGGCACCATGCACATACCTAGCTGTTCCTAAATGCTATAGCTTTGCTACCAGGCATAGTGACATGAAATTCATGTACAGTAGTTTATTTAGACCTGAGCTAGACTAGGCAACTACTGTAATGACGGTATGTGGCACAGACACACCCATGGAGAAGCTAACTGGGGTAAAAGCCTGAAGTTCTTTAAAGTGTTGAAGTTGGTGCAGCTTTTAACATGGGGGTACTTGGGTCCATCCCAACCAGAACTTCATAACCCTCAATAAAATCTCTTCAAGTCTTATGTGCCCCTTATGCTAAGCTGGGTTAGCGCACATGCTAGCCCCAAGCCCGGCACTGCAACACAGCAGCACACGCAGCACCATGCCTGCACAAGACCCAGTGTGGGGATTTCCCTGGATATTCCCAAGCCAGCAGAGATGGGCATTCAGCAGCCTTGGCCAAGTAAAGAAGTCGCATATGGAAGAAGGTCAGAAGCTCCTGATGCCCCTGCTGTCCTGTGATTTTATTCATGAGGTATGTGGTGAGGATTTGTTATACAGTTGTATACTTCAACCCTCCTTTTTATAACTAAGTTTAGTGAAATGTCTTATTTTATGTTGAAAAATAAATAAGTTCAGTGAATGAGCTAGAGCATTCCTGTACATTCCCGTGCCCGTGCAGTAGCTCACAGTGGGGATTTTGCTGGTTATCCCAGGGCTGGCAGAAATGGGCCTGTGGCAACTGGGGCTGTGACACTGGGAGTGTGAAAGAGGACGTGTAGCAGAAAGTTGCAAGGTGCATATATATATTTTATGCAAGGTAATGGATATTTTCACTTTTTTCCAATGCCTAAGAAAAAGTATTCTCATCTGTTTCATATTACTGTGATATGAATAATCCATACTGTTTTGTACAGTATTGCTCTCAAATCTCCTCTGCATTATATACACACAAATCTACAAAAGAGTTTTATGTTGAGGTCCCTGTCAGATAAAACCACCAACACTGACACCATACCAAAGCCTTGCATATTGCAGGCAGTACTGACTTGAAGGGACTTTCAGACAACCAGAGGTACCTAGTGCTTTGCAATATCTTTCCATGGCACCAAAACTATTTAAAGGTTATGGCACAAGTCAGTTTTAGAGCTGAAGTGTAGCAAGAATATATTTAGGAATATTTCAAGGTTAGTTGACATCAATGGAAATAAAAATCTTACCTGGTTATTTACTGGCTTGTATTTCAGTCCTGGCTTGTTCAAGATTCTTTCAATCTGCTCATGGTTAAAGTTGGAGATACCAATGGCTTTTACCAGACCACAGTCCACCAGCTCTTCCATGGCCTAACGAGTAAGGACAACCAATGTGTATTTATGAGGTGGTATTACTGTCAACTACACTGTTTTTTTTTCCATAAAGCTAGTGACAAACCAACAAACAACCCACACTAAATTAAATAATAGCATCTTAAATTAAAAAAAGAAAATCTTTGCACCTTGTATTACCTGTATGCTTTATGTCCCATTGCAGATGGGGAAGTCATATAAGAAGAATGGCTTGGCCAACCCTTTTGTAATGGGAAGCAAAATCTTTTGCTTTGGCTTCTTTGGGGATCATTTTGCCAGAGCTAAAAAAGCAAGGGAGACCCCTCCACCTCCTCCTACGCCAGCACACTACCTCTGAGTTGGCAGAACACAGCAGGGAGGATGTTAACTTAAACTCAGTTACCTCGAAATACTTTCTTGCAACTGTAATCTGCTATTGTAGAGAAAACTATTAATTCCAAGAGTTGTAGCATCACAGAGGTGCAGGTAGCAGGAGCAGACCCTCAGTCTACAGGGAAAGGAGGACTGAAGCACAGCCTGAGATGCTGATGCCCAACACAGAAAAGTGAGAATTTCCTATCTGTATGAAACACCCAGTAAATTAACAGCCACACCCGGATTAATCTACACTTCAGTTCTACCATTGTGCATATTCAAATATTTTAGTGACAGCACTTACAGTGCTGATAGTTTCCTACTCTTTAGTCTTATTAAAGACATCCCCCTCTTGCTCCTCAAAACAAGGGGTAGCAGCAGCACTGCTCGTTCTGGTCATGAAATACAATTTTGGGTGACTATCCTCCATACCCAAACCTATCCCTTCATTTCATCATGCACGCAGATCTCTGCTCCATCTTTAGTGCTGACACCTGCTAAAAAGAGCAAACATTAACTTACCTCCCATGTGTCCAGAAAATCGGTATCACTGGGGATACTCATACCCTTGTCATCCACAGGATGCAGTTCTTCACCAGCCTGTTATTTCAAGGCAGATAGTACATAGACTTTTAAAGAGAGTTTAATTTCCTACTGTTTACTAGCACTTCTGACTGGAATTATAGGCAGTAAGTTAGCAGGTTATTTAAACATATTGCATAACTAAAAATTATGCATGTTCATCAGTATTCTCTTTTGGATGGGGGCCATATTTCTACAAATCAATCCCTGCATATAAAGAGTGGGGATTAGTATCAATTATGTGAGTAACTTAGGCAGATCTAGACAGAAGGGAACACTCCCCTACCTTTATTCTAGAGTTTTTATTTATTTTACACAGGTGTAGACTGAGGAAAAAAAGCAGCACATTGTTTCTGCGCTGTGCTTCATTTTTCACTGTTGGTTACTCCAGATCAAGCCAACATCTCCAAAACCTGAGATGTTCACACTGTTCTGGCCCAGCAGAAGGCCACGATCCCAAACTGCACCATTGCGTGTTGGTTACAGTTTCCCTGAAGACCCGGGGGCTCATTAGCAGCTGGCACACCTACAACTATCTTGCTCCAGCAGGCATGTAAAGGCAGACCCACATGCTAAAACATACCACTACCTAGTTAGCGACTGAATGCTTGCTACCACCAGGTTCAGGGAAGAGCCAAATGAACCATAGCATATCCCAGGTGCATAACGAAGATGGCCACAGCATAGATGAGAGAATACACCATGTTTCTAGCCAGGTGAGGAGAAGAGGAATGTAGAGCAGGACTACCTTGAATCCCATGGGGAAATGTATCAAGTAGAGGTCAAGGTAGTCCAGTTGCAGTGCAGCGAGGCTCTTCTTGCACGCTACCTTAACCAGGGACTTCTCATGAAATGTGTTCCACAACTGTGGGAAGAAACCAAGCCCAGCTGTGACTCTACAGCTTCCACAGTCCAGGCCAGGGGACAGAAGCTTCTCCCTTGGTGGTCTGGGAGGAAAATTCCCTCCCCACCTACCTACTGCACACTGAATGGATGCCAATCCAATGGATGCCAATATTTTAATAGTAAGGTAGAACAGAAATACCACAAATAAGGAGTCAGGAGTGAAGGTGGACAATCAGTATTCCTACTCATGAAAAGAGATTCTCAGAACTAAATGTAACACTGCCAGGTGTATCTGACACAGCAAAGCTGTTAGCATTAGAATCTTCTTTTTTTCAGCCTAAATTTTGAGCCTTTAGGAACTCATAGCTCCCCTCCTTCTGTCCCTTTTAACTGTCCATAGTGAGAACTGTTGTCAATTTTATTTTATTTTTTAAATGAAAAGTCAAGTTGTTTAAATAGAAGAACTTGCAAGTATTATTCAAGTTAAACCTGTTCTTTAAACAAAAACAAAGAGTATGTGGAAAAGCTTAGTTATGCTCAATGTTTCCTGGTTTTGTTTGTGAAAACCCCAAGTCATAATTTTTTTACTTGGCGTTTTCTCACTTTTTGGTAAAGGGCAGTGATGAGACAAGTAGATGAGATAAAGAAATGAGTAAATACACAGAAAATACTTCAGGCTGAAGTCCCATACTTTCATTTCTATTCCCTTTCAGGCTTACATTTTGTACATGACACCATTTTCAAATGTCTTGCAAACCAGTAAGTAGCACAGCACCTCTGAATTGAGAGTCTTTTTTTTCTAATCTTTCTAGGGTACATGCAAATGAACCTTCAGTATAATTAAGTTACTTAATACATGCAAGGAAATTATTAGATCAGCAACAGCCATGCTATCTTTCCAAAGTTGTCAATGGTTCCTTAGGTAAAGCTCAGTCCAAATTGCAAATAAAGGATGGAATTTATAGCACACAACAAGACAACCATGAAATGAATATTGTAGAAGGGATTAAGTCCTTAGGTTACTTTACAGATAGAACAAGGGTTTCTCTTTGAGAAAAGCTAAATGCCCCAATAATCCTGCATCCTTGTACCTTAGTGACAATGAAGAGGTCTTCCCGTTTCACAGCCCCCTCCTTGATCTTCTGCTGGACTGCATTCCCTATTTCATTTTCATTTTGGTAGAAATAGGCACAGTCGAAGAGGCGGTAGCCTGCATCAATAGCAAACTTCACCACCTCTTCTACCTTTGCTGGAGGAGCCTGAAAGCAAACACAACCAAACCATGAGCTCTTCCATGGCCTTCTGCTGGCGCTTGCTGCTGTGACAGCTCCGCAAAGTCTCCCTTTGCAGCTGCTTCTGGAGCATCCTTGTCACCTGCATCTAAACTGAGTTTCAACTTCCCAGCCAAACAGCATTTTTGTAAGGAAAGGGAATAGAGCAGAAAGGAGTTGGTTTCTGTGAGACATTTGGACTCTGCCATTTCCAGCACTGTAAAGCCCTGCATCATTTCCCCTTATTTGCTCCCAGGGTTGCCCAAGCAGTTTTGCCAGTTTACCTTCCCCACGAAGGCAGTTTCGTGGCACAGGGCTCCCAGCAGCCACTGACCCCATCCCAGGGCTGCAAGCCGCAAGCACCGGGCCAGGCAGCCTTTCACAATCTACTTTTTGTTCTTTTTTTGTTGGTTTCTTTTTTTGCTTCCCCTCCTCTTTATTTTGCCTCCCTCCACCTTCTCCAGCCCCTATATATTTGGTTTTTTTGGTCTTTTTTTCCATTACTTTTTGCTCCCCGAGCCCTCTTCTTCCCTGCGCTCCCCCGCCGCGCCTGGCAGCCCGCCCGGTTACACAAGTGGCCGCGATCGCTGCAAGTGGGCGGCGAGACCGATCCCCTCCCCCGGCCCCCACGCAGGGACGTGGCTTCCGCGGGCGCAGGGCTTTTGGTGGTCGCTGTTTTTGGTTTTTTTTTTCCACATCTTGGCAGCCTC